TATATATATATATATATATATATATATATATATATTTTTTTTTTTTTTTTTTTTTTTTTTTTTTTTTTTTTTTTTTTTTTTTGGTCTCTGTTTTGTTTTTAGACAGGATTTCTGTGTAGCCCTGGCTGGCCTGGGACTCTGTAGACCAGTCTGGCCTTGAAACTCACGGAGATCCACCTGCCTCTGCCTGCTGAGTGCTGATATCAGAGGCATGCACCATCAAGCCCAGTCCCTCCTCCCTGTTTTCAATAAGTGAGTTCTAGGATGGGATTATAATCTGAGAAAGTTGATCCGATAGAGCCGCACACAGGGTTTAGGTCACCTCTTCTACAGCGAGAGGGGTTTCTTGTCAGAGTCTTAGAAAAGCTGGAGACCAGTGAGTTGGATGCCGGTAAAGGTGCCTGCTGCCAAGCCTCCCGACCTGAGCCTCAACCCTGGGACCTGCATGGCGGACAGAGAGAGCCAACTCCTAGAAGTTGTCCTCTGACTTCTACATGTGCACTGTGGCTTGCATGCATGCGCGTGAGCACACACACACGCATGCACACATGCATATATATGCAAGAAGATGAATGAATAAAAGTCCAATTAAAAAGACAGGGTGTGGCGGCACATTCCTGTGATCCCAGCACTCTGGGAGGCAGAGGCATGTGGATCACTGTGAGTTCGAGGACAGCCTGGTCTATAAAGTGAGTACAGGACAGCCAAGGCTACACAGAGAAACCCTGTCTCAAAAAACGAAAACAAACAAACAAACAAACAAAAAAAAAAAACCATACCAAAATTAAATTAAGAAAATATTCCTAGAAAATTATAGGTTTATATCTTGAAAAGGAGAAGACATCCTAAGCAAATGTAATTGTATTGGAATTCTTGATTTTCAGTTGGTGGGAAACTTGAACCAGACTCCTGGGTGAAGGGCTTTTTTTTCCTTCCCATGTACCCACAATTCGCCCTGGTTGTCTTTATTGCCTCAGCCATGGTGGTCTCAGAGGCCAGCTTTGGTAGCACGCCCCTTTTCAGCAGAATCATTAGGTCATGAGTTGGTTTCACATGTGATTTCTTCTTTGTTTCCCCTGGGATGGTTGACCTAGGTTAAGAGCAGCTTCCCTGAGCCTGATCCACAGACTGGCGAGGACTGGCTGCAGGCCACTCCCGTGACAGACTAGTTTCCGTTCCTATGCTCAGCAGCTGGTTTGGGATGGGAGCAAATATAAATGGATTCTTGGACTTCTGGAAAGTTTCAGCGGTGCACCCCACTGATCCATCAAATCTTTCCCCGGGGGTGAGGATGGATATAGCACTCTTTAAAAAACAAACAAACAAACAAACAAACAAACTCCTTTGCTTGGGGTGTTTAGGCCTCTACCTCCCTTCCACCAAGCCCCCAACTTAAGTAGGAGAGAGAAAAGGTTAGTGGGGAGAGGGGGCCAGGACCCCTTTACTTCTCCCAGTTAGTTAGGGTCACGGGGTTCTTTTAGGGCTCTATACCAATCTCCATCAACTGCAGATGCAGCCAGCAGCCTCCTCCACGTCACTGCGCCCTCTGACTGTTCGCTCCTAACCGACACACTGTCTCTGCTCTCTTCACACTGCTCCCCGCCTCCCACCCCACACCCCACGCCAACATCGAACTCCACACTTTCTCAACAAATGCCACCTCTTCTTTCTTGGCTCTCATATTTATACTGAGTCCTAGACCACGCCCCCTCTCCATGCAGCACTTGGAAGGCCATTACCGGCTGGGAAAGATCACACCCCACATGTGACAATTAACAGGTGTGGACAAACTGTAGCCCAACTAAAATCCCACACTTGGGATTAAAATAAGAGGATATTTACATAACATACAAAGAAACCAAAACTTCTATTACAAATGGACATACAGAAAGACAAATCTTTGTTGATATAAAGTCATCCCCCGAAATCATCACTGGCAATATTCCTCAGCTCTCCCCTCCAGGCGCACCTACAGCAGGAAGAGTGGTGGATGGCAATTGCATCCGGGAACTTTAGGTAGACTCCTCAGGCTGGCCTGGAGGTGGTGCTGTTTGCATGCGCTCAGTTTAGGATTACCACATTAAGAAGCCTTAAGATTCAATCTTATACCTAGTAACAAATCTGAATGTTACTTGGGCATCTTTTTTTGTAAGGTTTTTTTTTTTTTTTTAGATCTATTTTATTACTTTATGTGTATGAATGTTTTGCTTGCATGCATGTAAGTGCACCACTTATGTGCCTGGTACCCTCTGAGGTCAAAAGGTCCTTGGATCCCCGGGCCTGGAATTAACAGACAAGTGCTGAGTCAACTTTCCAGCCTTTTTTTTGTGTGTGTGTGTGTTTGGATTACTGAGGTTAATTAATGGGAAACGGTGAGCTCAGATGATCTTTGGGGTAGTGTGGGGGTCTAACACAAAAAATCAGAATCCAAAAAAAGTCAGGATAAACAAAATTGCCTGGGTAAAAATTCAGATCAGGGCTGGTGACTCAGTGATTAGGATCACACACTTGCTCTTGAAGAGAACCCGAGTTTGAGTCCCAGCGCCCACACTGGGCAGCTCATAACCTTCTGTAATTCCAGTTCCAGAGGATCCAATGCCTCCGGCCTCTGTGGGCACCCAAACTCATATGCATGTACCCACACAGAGACACCTAATTAAAAATAAAATAAGCCTTTTGAAAGGCCAAATATCATTTTAAGTCTTTTAATTTAAATTTAAAAAAAATTTTTAAGGAAAAGATTTTATCTTGTGGTGTGTGTGTGTGTGTGTGTGTGTGTGTGTGTGTGTGTGCGCGTGCGTGCGTGCAAGTATCCTATGCTTGTGTGGATGCCTGGGGAGAACAGAAGAGGGTGTCTCAGATCCCCCGGGGCTAGAGTTACAGGCAGCTGTGAACCACTGACGTGGGTGCTGGCATCTGAGCTCCGATCCATCGGATGAGCCGAAAGTACTACTTCCAGTAAACCACCTCCCCAGCATTCAGATTTGCTCATCCGACAGACTACCAGAAAGTGAACAGCAAAATGAGAAGGTAAGAGTTCCCGGATCAGTAACATGGCTCGGTGAGTAAGGGCACGCTTTATCATAGGCTGGAAAGGGTTATTTGTTGCCTCTTCCTTAGGCTTTTCCTTTTTGGGTGTCCAAGTAGTTACTCTCAGTGCGGAGGCAGCTGTTTCTTTTGAAGTACCGACCTTGGCAACACTGAGGTGCTGCTGTGATGCCAAGGGAACCATCAAAACGCCAAGGTAGTAGTCATATTCCCACCCCCATCCATCCAAGGAGGACAAGAACAAGCTAGCCTGGGATAGCGTAAGTACCACAATGGAACCTTCGCGCAGCTGACTAGGCAGGCAGTGCTAGTATTATGGAGAGGTCCACACTTTCAGCAACAGTACTGGCTCTTGTGGTCCCAAAAGGAAAAAAAAAAAAAAAATCAGATGGGACATATGGGAGTAAAGCAGTCAAGAGTTTGTTTGTTTACGTGGTTTTGTTTTTTGTTTTTTTTTTTTTTTTTTGAGACAGGGTTTCTCTGTGTAGCCCTGGCTGTCCAGGAACTCACTTCGTGGAGCAGGCTGGCCTGGAACTCAGAGATTGCCTGCATGTATATACGTGAACCACATGCATGTCTAGGGTCTAGGATGGTCAGAAGAGGGTTTTTGGATTTCTTGGCACCAGTCCTGCAAACTGTGGTAAGCTTCAAGGTGGGTGTTGGGAATCGAACTTGGGTCCTCTTCAAGAGCATCAAGTAAGGGGAGTAAGAGTGAGTTCGGGGATAAAAGGATGATCTTTGGGAAAAGAGCAATGGGAGCAGAGAAGGAATGTTGTACCTGGTATCCAAATGGTGGTATCCAAATGGTTGCGTCCCGGCAGAAGTGAGGTTTAGATCTGTCCTTTATCTGTTCTCTCCTCCCTGTGTCTCTCTCAAGGTGAGCGCTAAAAGAAAGTAGCACGCTTTTCTTGGATGCCCATTTTACCCAGTCCAAATACACTTAAGATGCAGAACTGTGCCTGGGGGTTTAAGTACCCCCAAAGCTGAAAAGTTCACTGGGTAAAGGGTAATAGCACTCTGCATACTGTCCTTAATGCGGAAAGACCCTGAAGCCCGGTTAAGCCAAGTCAACTGGTAGACCGCTTCTGCTCTTTACATCCCGTTTTGGGGGCCCTGAGCGGGCTATCACCTGTTGTTCTTTATGTCCTGTTTTAGGGCGCCTGGTTGGTCATTCTCTCCCAGAATTAGCCTCCTTCCTAACACCAAGGCGGACTCCCAGAAGGAGATTGAAGAAGAGTGTGCGTTCCAAAGCAGAGGGAGCGGGGCGGGGCTTTCACGCAGACGCAGCAATACCACGTGTGAAAACAAAGGGGTGTGCAACACCCGAGTGCCCGTGCGTAGCTGCAAATTGCAGGGAGAGGTGCGGGCTTGGGCCACGAGGGCCTTTACGGGCGCAGATTTCTTCCCAGATCAGAGTCAGCTTTTGGCTGTCTAGGGCCCAACCACACCATTTGCCACACAATTCTCACCCAGCTTTCATTTTTTTTTTTTTTAATAGACAAATACACTCAGGCTTTAGAGAATTGAAACTGTCTCAGGTAAAAGCCTTGGGCCGTACTAGAAGACAGAAGGCTAGTCCGGGCATTATCTCTGCCTCTGATTCTGAGGCTTTGCCTAGGGCTATCAAAGCCTCTGTTCGCTCAGGTACAGTGTTCAGCTTTTTTTTTTTTTTTGCTAAACTACATTTCCCACAATGCCTCGGGCCGAGCAGCCCGCCTTCCATCTGGACGCTGCCTTCACCAATAGCGGAGCAGAGTTTCCAGAAACTGTCCTGAGCAGCCAATGAGAGTGGCCGTGGGCGGGCCTCTCCCGTCCATTGTTCTCCGTGCCCCTTGGGCTTGAGCTGAGGTGAAGCCAGAGGGGCCGGGGCGGCCGGTCCGAGGGGTGCTTTTGCGCACCGAGCCGTCGTGGGAACAGGATCTGGTTCCTGGAGAGGCCAGAGAGAGAGGCAGGTCAGGAGCCGCGCGCCCGGCGGGGAACAGCCGGAGAGACGAGCGAATAACGGGCCTGGAGCCAGCTGAGGGCACCTTGGGGGAGGGGCGTCGGGGTCCGTACCCCGCGATCTGGGCTCAGTTCTGCGGCCCGACCCTTCCGGGCCCACGGGATTCCGCTTATGCCAGCGCTCCGAGCACACGCAGCCGGGAGCGCAGGCTTTATTCTGGGAAGGGATGCTCAGCGACACCCGGTCGAGCCTCCTCCTTGTCCAGATGGGGAAACAGAGGCCCTGAGGGGGCGTGCCGTGTCCCGGTTTAGTGAATGAACTGTCTAGGTTCAGGGTTCCCAGGAAGGGTTCCGCTGTATTTGTGTTTCACGTTGTCATTTGGACAAATTGACGTTGGAAGCTTCAGTCTTCTTTTTTGTTGTTTTGTTGCTGTTGTTTTTACTTTTTACTTTTGCTGTTTTCATAGGGGTGGGAAGGCATGTTATCTGAATCTATGGTGTAATGATTTTTAAAAATAAATATTCGTTGCTTTTATAATATTTAAATAGTTTTTTTCATTAAATTTTTATTTTTTATATTAATTACAGTTTGTTCACTGTGTATCCCAGCTGTAGTCCTCTCCTTCCTCCCCTCCCAGTCTCACTCTCCCTCCCTCATCTCCTCCCATGCCCCTCTCCAAGTCCACGGATAGGCGAGGTCCTCCTCCCCTTCCATCTGACCCTAGCTTATCTGGCCTCATCAGGACTGGCTGCATTGTATTCCACTGTGGCCTGGCAAGGCTGCTCCCCCATCCAGGGGAGGCTGTCAAAGAGCTAGCCACGGAGTTCATATCAGAGACAGCCCTTGTTCCCCTTACTAGGGTACCCACTTGGATACTGAGCTGCTCTGGGCTACATCTGAGCAGGGATTCTAGGTTATATCCATGAATGGTCCTTAGAGTATCAGTCTCAGAAAAGACCCCTGTGCCCAGATATTTTGGTTCTATTGCTATCCTTGTGGAGCTCCTGTCCTCTCAGGTCTTACTATCTCCCTATTCTTTCCTAAGATTCCCTACACTCCGCCCAAATTTTATGAATCTCAGTATCTGCTTTGATACAATGCTAGTAGAGTCTTTCAGAGGCTCTCTGTGTTAGGCTCCTGTCTGTTTCCTGTTTTCTCCTTCTTCCAATGTCCGTTCCATTTGCCTTTCTGAGTGAGGATTGATCATGTTACCCAGGGTCCTCCTTCTAGCTCACCTTCATTAGGTGTACAGATTTTTGTAGGTTTATTCTATATTTTATGTCCACTATCCATTTATAAGTGAGTATGTGTCGTGTGTGTCTTTCTGTTTCTGGGATACCTCACTCAGGATGATCTTTTCTAGTTCTCACCATTTGCCTGCAAATTTCATGATTTCTTTGTTTTTAATTGCTGAGTAGTATTCCATTGTGTAAATGTTAAATAGTTTTTAACACCACTGCTTTGACTGTTTTGTAGAGTTGCTGCTCAGGTCTAGGTCCCTCTACCCCCACCTCCCCTTGATCCCCATGCATGTTTATTTAAAAAGCGACTTGGGAAATTCTAGGTGATGGGGCATAGCTGTATTCTCAGTACTCAGGAGGCAGGGCAGGAAGACTAGGAGTTAAAGGCCAGCCTGGGCTACACAGTGAGATCTTGCTTCAGAAACAAAAATAAACAATGTCTGTACTGAACGTGTAGGGACTTTTTCATGTTATTATATCCCAAACAGTATAACAACTTTTCTCGTAGTGTTTACACTTAGGTATATGCTGTTTAGAGATGATTGAAGGTATATCAATAGGGGACTTGAGCATTTAGAGATGTGGGAACCTGAGGTTCCTGGAACCAGTTCCCTGAGGATAACCCAGCCTCTGAAAATATAGCAGTAATGTCTCCTCCTAGTGAAGCTGGGAGCACCTTAACATACGATCCGTTACCAATCATTAAGATGTTCCAAATGATAAGGGTGAGTGTTATTATCTATTTATGAAGTTGTCCCTGAGGTTGAATGAGTAACCTCTTTGTTAGGTCAAGGTCATTTGCTCTGCAGAAAGTCTGAACTGACTTAGGGCGGGATATGTTGGTTCTGTTTTCCCTCACCCCAGAACATTGTATTTCTACTACTCATTCTTTAGTCTTCTGAAAAGAATAGTGGTGTGTGTGTGTGTGTGTGTGTGTGTGTGTGTGTGTGTGTGTTATGTCTTTTGCCACAGAGAGGCACTGTCTTCAGGAGTAAGGCAGCAAGCCTCTGTTGGGGTTTGAATGTAAGGAGGCTGCTTCGAGATGGTTGTAAGATGTAAATTACTTATTGATTCTGGTTCTGTCTTGTTTCTCTGCAGAGGTTTGTGCTGGGACTGGAGGAAGGGGGTGCCTTCTCAGAGAGCTTGGAGACGGGTGCGAGGCTTGACATTTGAGTGATCATCCTGGAAGTTGGATAATGGCAGCCGAAGTTCCAGCACTGACCACTCCCCTCAGCCCATTGGTTCAGGTACCTCAAGACGAAGATGAACAGGCGGAGGTTACCACTATGATCCTGGAGGATGACTCATGGGTGCAGGAAGCAGTGCTGCAGGAGGATGGCCCTGAGTCCGAGCCCTTTCCCCAGAGTGCTGGAAAGGGCAGCCCACAGGAGGAAGGGGCAGCCGGGGGGCCTCAGGGTGCACTTGTCCGGTTTCGGGAGCTCTGTCGACGCTGGCTGAGGCCAGAGGTGCACACGAAGGAGCAGATGCTAACTGTGCTGCCAAGGGAGATTCAGGCCTGGCTGCAAGAGCACCGGCCAGAGAGCAGCGAGGAGGCTGTGGCTCTGGTAGAAGACTTGACCCAGACCTTTCGGAGCAGTGGTGAGATGCAGGACGGTGCAGGGAGAGGGTGGGAGCCTCCTGAGGTGCGCGCAGTAGTGCAGTGGTTATGCGGGAGCAAGTGCTCTTTCTAGAGGAAGAGATGGCGCCTGTCTCTCCTTACTGTCTCTGTGGCACTCAGCGAGATCATAGCTCTTCTGATGCCCTCACTGTGTGCAATGGTAGCCCCAGAATTTCAGTAGGAGGGGCTTGGAGGGCTGGGCTTGGAGCTCTGTTTGCATACTACACTCTGCTTTGACTTATTTGACTAAAATCACAGAGTGGTCTGGGATAAAGTTCAGTGGTAAATATGATGCCTGCCTAGCATGCACGAGAGTTATCTGGAAGCTATTTTTGGGCTTGTAGTTTTTAATTTCTCTTGCTATAAAGAGAAAGTATTTCTTTTCTTCTTCTTTAATTGAATTTTATTGTTTTTTAACTTTTGAGATAGAATCTCATTATGTATACCTGGCTGGCCTGAACTCACTGTGTAGACCAGGCTGGCTTCAGACTCGCAGAGCTCTGCCTGCCTCTGCCTCAAGAATAAGACGTTCTTCCCTTACGAGGAACAGGAAATTTCTGTTGGTTTGTAAGTATAAGCACAAAAATGAACTCTGTAATCCACCCCCTGGTTCCTTCAGTTGGTTATAATCATTCAAAATAGAGTTGGCAATTAGGAAAAAATGCAGTTTTTTTCAGAGTGGTCATTTTGATAATCAACAGGTAAATTGTTTGGGCTTTCTGTAGTATGGAGTCATCTTAGACTCTTTAAAGAGTAATTGGCCAGGCTTGGAGGGGTATGCCTGTTACCCTAGTACTCAGAAACTGGAGGATTGCAAGCTAGTCTCTGTATACAGAATAGATCTCATCTGGAGAAAGGAAAAAAGGTAATTCCAGACACGCTGTTTACAGCGGCTACTGTATCTGTGTGCTTTAGTGATGAGTTCTGGATCCTTGTCCAGTTACCTGTTCTATTTGCATTTGGCCTTGGGCTGTAAACTGTGCTCATTTGATTATCCAGTATTTACTTCAGTTCTGCCTTTCCCCTAGGACAATTTCAGGACCCAGAGTATGTGGCTGCTTTGTGCTGCTGAAGTACTTCAGGAATTCATAAAGGCATGTGGAGAGGTCAGGCCAGATCAGAGAGGGCTTTGTAGCAGACACGGACCATAAGTAGGAGGTTGCAGAATGGCGTAGAATTTGGAAAGTCACAGTGCCAGGAGGAAACTGTGACATTTGGGAGGAGCTGCGCTCAGCCAAGGCTCTGAAGTGGGGGAGCCGAGGAAGCGGGTTTCTTCAGATGACAGCAGCAAGGCAGGCCTGGTGATGGGAATGGAGAGTGTGTTTTCAGGAAGTGGTGGGAGTTTCGGGGAAGGGAGGTTGGAGGTTTGAATGAAATGTATTGGCTTTCTAACTAGGGCCTGTGGGGCATGAGAGGAAGCTGACTTTGGCAACAGGATGTAGGTTTGATTAGATTGGGGAGAGGCTAGTGGAGAGCAGTCAGGAAGCAGCCTGGTCATGAGATGTGCCATACTGGGAGTCAGAAGGAGGCGGAAACCGCAGCGGTGGAGGATGAGATTGGACAGGACGTGTGAGAAAGAACTATCAGTGTAATGGCATCTCTGGAGCTCTGTCTTCAGGCCCACAGTCTGTTTAGCATCTCACGAGCACCGTCTTGGAAGATAAGTGGATTATTGTCATTAGAGGAGGAGGGTGCCCTACTATAAGATCAGGTAGCTGGTATGAGGCGAAAAGCTTGTGTTCTTAAGCTGCATCAAATGAGGGTCCTGATGATTCCTAGCGAGGTCCTGGAAGGAGGAGAGCCCATCAGGGTTTAAGGCAGAGTGACTCAGTGCTGTCCAGTCTAAAGGACTTAGCAGGCTGGGAGGGGAGGGGTGAGGAGAAGGTAGTTGAGGGCAGAGGGGGTGACAGTAGGCAGGGACTGAGAGACATGGGTAAGTCTGTCCTCAGAAGAAAGGTCCTGACATAGAGGACTGACCGACCCAGCCCTGCCTGGGCACCTTATATGGCACTGGCACAAGAATCTTGTGAGGTGAGTGGGATTGTCACTTGACAGGAAGCTCAGCAGGTTCACACAGCTGTCATTTGGTAGAGGCAGGATTCAGACTCAGGTCTATTTGCTTCTGCGTGAGTTTCACTGGTTCTAAGGCTCCCTCCCTCCCTCCCTTCCTTCCTTCCTTCCTTCCTTCCTTCCTTCCTTCCTTCCTTCCTTCCTTCCTTCCTTTCTTTCTTATTTTGGAGACATGGTTTCTCTGCATAGCACTGGCTGTCCTGGAACTCATTATGTAGACCAGGCTGGCCTCGAACTCAGAGTCCCACCTTCCACTGCCTTCCAAGTTCCGGGATTAAAGGCATGTGCACTACTACCTGGTTACAGACCCTGAGTTTTACCTCAAGTATTTTAATTTCTTTGGCTTTGACAGACAACTTCATTAGGAGTGTGCTTGGAATCAAGCCTAGGAATGGGATCTTTCGAGGCAAGTACTGTATCGTGAACTACGCCTACAGCCCAGTAACTTATTTAATTACTTAGTCTTTCAAACAGGGTCTTACACATTCCAAGCTGGTCTAAAGTTGATATGTAATTGAGAATGGCCTAGAACTTAAAAACATTTTTTTTAAGTTAACTTATTTTTACGTGTATGGGTGTTTTGCCTGAATGCATGTCTGTGCACCATCTATGTGCCTGGTGCCTTCGGAGGTCATCAGATTCCTTGGAACTGGATTTATAGACCATTGTGAACTGACAAGTGGGTACTGGGAATGAAACCCTGATCCTCAGGAAGAGCAGCCAGTGCTCTACCTGTTAAGCCATCTTTAGCCCCACCTTGAACTTCTGATCTACCTACTTCCACCTGGTGGGATTATGGATGTGTGCTGCCATTCCTGGTTTTTTTCAGTGGTAGGGAATCAAACCCAGGATTTCCTGCCTCTTTTGCAAGCACTCTGAAAACTGAGCTGCATCTTTAATCTGTTTTTGTTGTTGTTGTTTGAGACAAGGTCTTATATTGTAGCCTAAGTTGTCCTCAGTTTCATGGTAATCTGCTGGCCCAGGTCAGCCTCTGCCATCAGGGAAGCCAGACACCATTGCACACCAGGCTGGACTGGAAGGAATGAAGTTTGGCAGGGCTGGTGGTTAGTTTGGGGAGAACCAGCCTTCTCTGAGCCAGTTTTCAGTGAAAAGGCTCTCTTTCATTGGGGGAAGTAAGGGCTGTATAAGCCTTGGGGAAGTGGGTAGGGATGTTCCGGTTGAGTGTACATCATTGGCTGAAATGCTTCATCTGCATGGAGAGGCATTTCAGGGGCTAGCTGGACACGGCTTTATGGGGAAATAGGAAGTTTTGATCTGAAACCTGGCCGCCAGGCTATGTGACTACCTCAAGTGTGGCAGAGGTAGTGGTCTCAAGGATGCTTGCGCCTGGGCATGCAGGCTCAGAAGAGGGAGAGAACCAGCCTCAAGATGAGATTTTTGGGGTTTGGACATGTCTGAACCTCATTCTTGCTCTGGGCTGGCTCCTCCAGTTGCAGGGCTCACCTGCCCCACAGTAATCCTCCCATCAGAATCTCCTGAATTCTGGGCTTACGGATATGCTACTGAATTCAGCTTAATTTTAACCTTTGTACAAAGAAGAAGAAAGAGAAGAAACTTGCCCTATATTAGACTTCCCTTGCCTCTCATGGCTGTGGCAAGTTTATAATGAACTTCAGGATTTCCAAGATAGCACAGAGGCTTGGGCTGAGGAGAAGTCTGTCTGGTGATTGTTTACTGGGGGAAGTCATGATTGATGCTGTTTCTCTGCGGGAGTCTGAGGTGATTAGAGCCCTCACCATCAGCTCTGCAGTGTTTCACTTTTTTCACTGGTCCTCTAAGATGGGGGGGTTCTCCCCGGAGGAATCATGTTCTGACTTCTGCCTTTAAGATTACCTCTGTTGGGAGTTGGAGAGATGGCTCAGTGGTTAGGAGCACTGCTTGCTCTTCCAAAGGACCCGGGTTCAATTCCCAGTACCCACATGGCAGCTCACAACTGTCTGTAATGCCAATTCCAAGGGATCTGACACATTCACACTAATGCACGTTAAATAAATAAATAAAGAAATAAGTAAAGAAATAAAATAAAAATTAATGGCCCACACCATTAATCCCAGCAGTGGGGAAGCAGAAGCAGAGGCAGGCGGATATCTCTAAGTTGGAGAATAGCCTGGTTTACAAACCAGTGAGTTCCAGGACAGCCAAGACTACACATAGAGACCCTGTCTCGAAAAAAACATTAAAAAAAAAAAAAAAGGTTATCTCTGTTGGTCTTCATTTGATAACACACATAGCCCTTCATAGTGGCTCGCAGGAGTCACGACACCTTCATTCCTTCTCAAACATTTGCTCGACCTGATACCAGTCAGCCTCTGTTCTGTTTGTTAAGATAAAGGTCTTAGGGTGTATTGACCCAGGAAAGAGCATTTCAAGGCCTGATTAGTCACTGCTTAATATTTGACTAAGAGGCACCCCTGGGTGTTCTCCCTTGAAGAGTCTTGTAATTCCAATTAAAAACCGCATCTCTATTAATAATTTACATGTAAAGTTCATCTCTGTTTGTCCATGTTTCCTGGGTGTTCATTCTCAGCCCCAAGTCAGGTGTTGGGATTTCCTGACTGAATTTGTGCAGTTGTCTCTAAACTAAACCTCCGTCTCTCCTCTGCCCCACTCATCAAGTTCCTTCATGTGCCCCAGAGCAGGCTTTCCTGTCTACCAAACCAATTGACCTTCTACGGGGGCAGAGCGGGTGTTTTGCAGTCTCTTTCTTGTTTCTCTTTTGTTTTTTGCTGGCTGTTTGTTTTGAGATGAGGCCTCACTCTATTGTGTCTAGTCCAGGCTGGTCTTCAGCTCACTGGGAAGCCCAGGCTGACCTTGAACTCATCATTCTCCTGCCTCAGTCTTTTCACTTTTTATCAATCTTTTATATTATTGATATAAATATTCTTATATT